TGGGTGCCCACCCGATGGCACCCAGGTGTGTGCGGGGCGCACAGGGTGCACGGGTTGTGGGTGCCCACCCGATGGCACCCAGGTGTGTGCGGGGCACACAGGGTGCACGGGTTGTGGGTGCCTGCACGACGGCACCCAGGTGTGTGCGGGGCACACAGGGTGCACGGGTTGTGTGGGCGCCCACCCGATGGCATCCAGGTGTGTGCAGGGCACACGGGGCGCGTGGGGCCTGTGGGTGCCCGCACGATGGCACGCAGGTGTGCGCGGGGTACACAGGGTGCATGGGCTGTGTGGGTGCCCGCACGACAGCACCCAGGTGTGTGCAGGGCACACGGGGCGTGTGGGGCCTGTGGGTGCCTGCACAATGGCACCCAGGTGTGTGCGGGGCACACAGGGTGCACGGGTTGTGTGGGCGCCCACCCGATGGCACCCAGGTGCGCGCGGGGCACATGAGCCACGTGGGCGCCCGCTCAGCGCCGCCGCCGCCTCTGCCCGCAGGTGCTGCCCGCGGGGCACGACGCCGCCGCCGCCGCCGCGCTGCCCGAGCCGCCCCTGGAGCTCTACCGCCTGCCCGCGCTGCCGCTCGGTGAGCCCGGACACCGTGGGGACGGCGGGAGCTCGGTGGGGATGGAGATGTGGGCACTGGTGCCAGGGCTGGCCGCGGGTCCCTGCTTCCCTTGGGGCTCAGCCTGGGCTCCCGCGAGGCCGTCACCAGGCTGTGGTGTCGTGGCACCCGGCGCTGCAGCCGCCTCCCTCCCTGCCGCGCAGGGCCGGGCGCCGGCGCCGCTCTGCTGCTGCCGGCCGAGGACGAGGAGGAGTCGGGCGCCAGGACGCAGGCGCTGCTGCCCAGCGGGGCCCTGCCCGCGGCCCTGGGCGCCGGTGAGCGAGCGCCGCGGCGCGCGCGGCTCCCCGCGGCTGTCCGCGCGCTGGCGGATTGAGGGAATGGGAGTTAAGGACCCAGGAGGGGAAGGAGAGGGAGGCGGGGAGCCCGGTGGGGTTTCTGCGGGAGGTGGCGGCGTCGGGGGCCGAGGCTCCGTCCCGCTGCAGCCTCCGCTTTGCCGCCGCCTCCTCGGTTCCGGCTGCTCCCATGGCCCTGCGTGGTCGGGACAGCGGGTGGCCCTGAGCTTCGGCACGGGGACCGGGGTGGCAGAGACCCCGCGGCGCCGTCGGCCGCCCTCGTTGGTCGCGGCCGAGCCCTCCCGCTCGCTCTCGTTGCCCCGTAGCGGGGCCGCTGCCTCGCGGGGCGTCCCCGTGGTGGCTGGAGCCGCTGTCCCCTCGGCAGGTGAGAGCATCGTCATCAAGCTGGAGGAGCAGCCGCCGCAGGAGGAGGGCTCCGCGCTGCTGCTGCCCATGGCCGCGCTGGACCCGGAGCCGCCGCGCAGCCAGGAGCCGCCGGCGCCCTGGGAGAGCGGCTGCGGCGGCGCGGAGGGCACCGGGGC